TTGACGCCGCAGAAAACAGTTGACTTGACGCAGCTACCTGGGCAGACTCAGCAACAGGAGGAGACTCAGTAGTAAGGGTGTACAGGCTTGACCCTGGCCGACAGGTGAACGTGGCCAAATGTCGGCCTGTCCGAGCACATGTGCAGTGGGTCACTCGCTGACTCGTAGGAGTGAACTGGTCAACCCCCCTATCCTGTAGGTCCGCTCCACTCACCAAGTTCGTGGAGAATGAGGGGAGGTAGAGACCTGACAGGGTGCTAGAGGGGGCTGCCGTGCACGGTAGGACAGTGGAGAAGCTAGCAAGGACAGGACCCCCAGAGGGGTTTGCCAGGGAGACTGCAACCGGCCGACTAAGCGGCGTAAGAGTGGTGCGGTCTCGAAAGAAGGAGCGGGACGCACCTGAGTCCAGGGTGAAGGTGTGGAAGGCCTGAGCCGACGTAGTACCTAAGAGAACAGACTCACCAGAACCTGGGGCAGCAGACGCTTTGGCACCTGGGGCAGCAGACACACTAGCACCTACAGCACCAGCCTCACCAGCACCTAGAGCAGCAGCCTCAATGCCCGGGTAACGCGGTACATACAGGTAACAGTCACCCTTAACACTAGTATCAACAGCATACATGGCAGCAAGAATAGCATCAAAATCAAGATCAAAGATAGCAACCCCGGCCTTAGACAGATCTCCCCAGCCAGGGATCTCTAACGCCTCAGGGAACTGACGACGCCACGCGTCCGTCAGGCGACCAAAGCAGCGCTGGGTGGAGTGCGGGCCTCCGCACTGCTCACCAACTCGGTCGCCGGTACGGAGGACATAAGCGCAGGGACCAAAACCCCCACCGCGCTGACGCGCAATGTACCACTCACGAAGCTGCTGAGGGGACAGGGTCAAACCACTCTGCTGCTACTGGCGCGGACCACCACCTGAGCCACTCCTCTGCGCAGAGTCGCGACCCGCTCCACCACCGCCGCCGCCGCCGCCTCCGCCGCCTCCTCCACCTCCGCCTTCTCCGTTACCTCCGCCGCCTCCGCTCCCTCTGCCACCTCCACCGCCTCCGCCTCCTTCACTGCTGCCGCCGCCGCCGCCACCCCGGCACCACTCCCACCACCACCCCCACTCCCTCCATTGCCTCCACCACCACCTCGACCGCCCCGTCCAGCCCCTCCAGTGCCCTTGCCCCCCTTGCCCCTGCCGGTGCGGCGTTTCCTGCTCGGGGCAGACGCAGCACCGACGGACTTGAAACCAACGAGGTCGGCCGCAGCAGCAGAGGCAACAGAGGGCAAGAGGGGGGAGGGAGAACACCCCTCAAAGACGGGGGTGCAATGGTCACCACAAGAGGCTCCTACAGCGACTATGCTCTTCTCTATCGCTAGGAGGGCCTTCTCGAGAAGGTCAACGGTAAGAGTGGTGGGACAAACTGAGAGGAAGTGGTCCCTGACTACGCGAAGAGAGTTAGGAAGCCGGGTGACTATGTAGTAGAGGGTGATGTACATGGGGGGGCGGGGTTCTTGGCGCAGAACTCAGCAGGAAGCGCAGCGCGGTAGCGAGTGTCACTAGTGCGAAGGTGCGTAATGAGGTCAGCGACTGTGGGAAAGGCAGCAAGGTCAGGGAAGAGGTACGGTAACATGAGGCGGCTCAGTGCAGCAGTGGGAGGGGAAGAGTAGCGTGCAACTACGGCGTCGTACAAGGTCTGAGCACTCTTGTACTGGCTAAAGTGTGCACGCTCAGTGGTCGGTAAGTGGCGGCGCACAGCAAGGCGAGCAGTAGCATCGCGCGTTGCCCACTGTGAGCGAACAGTGGCGTCAGCATCAGCAGCACGGGTAGGAGAGGCACCAGAACTGAGGTCAAACAAGGAGAGGCCGTCTGCCCTATCGCAGTGAAGAAGCCGCTGGAGGTCATCGACCCAGACCTCAAAGTCAACGGCACGGCCCTCAGCATCAAAAGTGAGGACACTGGGGGTAGCCATGACTGTAGTGGCCTAGCAGGAAGTGGGCTCACCAGTCCGAGGAAGGAGGGGCCGGGGAGCACCGGTAGGAGCAGCAGCTGCTAGACAGTAGGGCGGCTCGGCGACTCGGCGGCTCGGCGGCAGGGCGGCTTGGCTGCAGGGCGGCTCGTCTGCTGGGCGGCTCGGTGGCAGGGCGGCTCGGGTGCTGGGCGGCTCGGCTGCTCATCGGCTCGGCTACGAGACGGCTCGGCTGCTGGGCTGCTCGGCTGCTCGGTAGGCGGGCGGCTCGGCTGCTGTGCTGCTCAGCGGTCAGTCGCTGGGCGGCGGAGCGGTGATAGGGCCGCTAGGGTAGGGTGATTGGGCCGCGGGTGACAGCGACAGGGCCGTAGGTGGCTGCGACGGGGCCACAGGTGGCGGCAAGGCCGCAGGTGGCGCTGGGGCAACAGTGGGGCCGAGACGGGGCCGAAAGGGGCCTAAGCCGGGGCCGAAAGGGGCCTAAGCCGGGGCCGAAAGGGGCCTAGACGGGGCCGAAAGGGGGCCTAGACGGGGCCGCAAGGGGCTAGACAGGGCCGCAGAGGGGCCTAGACGGGGCCGCGGAAGGGCCTGAACGGGGCCGTAAAGGGGCCAAACGGGGCCGCAGAGGGGCCTAAGTGGGGCCGCAGAGGGGCCGAAACGGGGTCGTAAGGGGCCAGACGGGGCCGCGGAGGGGTCTAGACGGGGCCGCAAGGGGCCTAGACGGGGCCGCGGAGGGGCCGTAAGGGGCCTAGGCGGGGTCGTAAGGGGCCGTGAGGGGCCAGACGGGGCCGCGGAGGGGTCTAGACGAGGCTGTAAGGGGCCTAGACGGGGCCGCGGAGGGGCCGTAAGGGGCCAAGGCGGGGCCGTAAGGGGCAAGACGGGGTCGAGGAGGGGTCTAGACGGGGCCGCAAGGGGCCTAGACGGGGCCGCGGAGGGGCCGTAAGGGGCCTAGGCGGGGCCGTAAGGGGCCTTAGAGGGCGACGCGAGGGGCCGTAAGGGGCCGTAAGGGCGGCGCGAGGGGCCTTAAAGGGCGGCTTGAGGGGCCGTAAAGGCGGCCAAAGGGGCCACTAAGGGCGGCTCGAAGGTAGGTAGGGCACACGAAACGCGACTCGGGTAGGAGTGAAGCGCGCTCCACGCAGGGAAAAAAAAATTGGGGTGGGCCCTAGGCAGCATTCCCACTCGGGAACCTGCTCGATACCATGACGAGAAACGAGAATGGATGAAATATGAAAGAGTTGGGTACAAGTACTAACCCTAATTGGGTTGTACTCCTTATTGGCTACCCCACTACAGCCTACACAAATGTATAAGCTATAATGTTCTGACACTTTTTCGCCCAACCCTCTTCCTTTATCCCACACTCGCGTTTGCCCTTCGTCCGTTCTCACACACATGGTTTTCTGCCCTTTCCCCATCCTTGCACTTTACCTCTCCTGCTCGTTCCTCTCCCCTTCTCGTTCCACCTTCCTGCATTTTTCCATCAAAATACACATACGTACATACCTTTCATGTTACATTCACCTCGTTGCTCCTCTCGACGTCTGAGTCTTATCTCCACCACCACCTCTGCTTCCCATTCCCTTCCACTCGCAGCCCCTCGGCACTACAGCAGTCCTTGCAGGGGAAGAGTTCAAGGTGAAAACGCATTCAGAGGGAAAGGGGAAGGACAGGGGGGTAGGGCCAGTGAATGAAGCTAGGGATATCATGCAACGGATAAAGGAGGAGAGGAGGGGAGGGGATGGCGTGGAGGGGACAGCAGGTGGGGAGCAAAGTGCTGCGGGAGAGGCAGATGGGCCACCGGGGAACGACCCGCTACTTCCTGTGGAGCATTGGGCGGAAGATGCGGGGCTGTGCCTTCAAGGGGCCAGCAGTAGGGCAGCAGCAGGGCAGCCGTCACGTGGAGAGGTACAGAGTGCATTGGTGGGGACGAATCTCAGTGAAAAGGCACTCAAAGCGTGGCTGCAGGAGGAAATAAACACCTTGCTGCTGCTCGTCTCTCCAGACAAGCAGATGATTCAGAAACGTGTGATCAACCAGACAGTCTTCTTTCTCTCTTCTCTGTCCCCCAAGACACAGCAGATCTCCCTTACAGCTCAACGAATCACCCCCGAAACGCAGCAGCTCAACCCAGCAGCACAGCAGATTACCCCTGAATTACAAGAGATCACCCTCTCCCACCCCAACCTCCGTTACTTTCTCTCACTTGCTCCCACCTGCTGCCCCACCCTCCTCCCCTCCCTTACCTCCCTCACACTCAACCAATGCTCCAAGGTCTCTCATCGTGACATGCTCTCCCTCCGCCACCTTCCCTCCCTCACCTCCCTCTCCTTCCTTCGAACCCCCATCGCTCCAAACGCCCTCTCCCTCATCCAGCCCTTCTCTCACCTCCACCAACTCGTGCTCGACTGCCCTGGTCCCTCAACCCTGGCCTTCAACATTGGGCCCTGGCCGCTGAAGAGCCTGAAATCCTTGCATGTGAGTCGTGTGACTGAATCAGTTCTGAAGGATGTAGGCATGCTGTGGAGCCTGGAAGTCCTCTCCTGCACATGCTGTGAGGGGGTGGGTTATACGGGATGGATTTCCCTGCTTACGTTGAAACGGCTGAAGCGTCTATGTGTAGCACCAGCGGATCTGGTCGGGCATGGTCTGAAGATGAACTATCCCAAGGGAAGCTTGCTGGTGGTCTCGCGAGTGTGTGCAAGGCCATTGAAGATGCAGGGAGGCATTCTTCAAGGGAAACTTCAATAGGGTGCACACATGAAATGCTTGGAATTGCAGAGCCAAGATGGCGAGCGTGGGATGTGGAATTTGATAGACGTGCTGCATGGTTTGGAGCATCTGGAGTTGCATGCACTGCCGCGTTACAAGCACGCCTGCATGTCACTGGAAAAGCTGCGACTTCTCATCACTCTCCAAATCACCGGGGCTTTCCTCGACAATGCCGCTTTCAAATGGTTGACTCGTGTGACTTGGTTGACCCACCTCAGCCTGGCTGGCTGCACGTTCACAGCAAACAGCGTGGTGATGAAAATAAAAGACTCCATGCCGAACCTCAAGTCCCTCGACCTGTCAGGAACGGCAATCACCAAGGAGGACACCGTCCACCTGCAATTTCTGAAGCACTTGGAGCGCGTGACACTGCAGCAGTGCTGCAACCTAGGCCAGTCTTTTGTGCGTTTCCTCATCTTCGTGCCGCAGCTCAAGGAGCTGGATCTGGGCTTTAACACCATGCCGGCTGTGTGGTTGACGCCTATTGTGGATGGGAAGCGGGTGCGGCGGCTGAGTGTGAGGGGGTGTGGGTACAAGGAGAAGACGGTGCGTGGGCTTAAGCGGCTTTGGATTGTGATTGGGTCTTGATGTGATGGTTGTTGCTGGGATCCAAGATGCATGTTGCATGGCATTAGGTGTATGGCATGTGGCGTATGGCATGTGGCGTATGGCATGTGGTGTATGGCATGTGGCATATAGCATGTGGCGTATGGCATGTGGTGTATGGCATGCGGCGTATGGCATGTGGTGTAGAGCATGTGGTGGTCAATATTTAGTTGCATGCAAGTGAAGGAGTACGGTATGTGGGCTTATATTTATATGGTGTGAAGTGTGTGGCAGTGATGGGTGTATGGTATGTCCTGGATGGAACGAGGGGCATCATGCAACGCGCATGGCATCACGCACGATGGAGCATGCGTTTTTAGCATGTGGGAGGTGAAATGCTAGTCGGGTCATTTTGTGTGTAGTCTATCGTGCTCCATAATCCACATAGTGCTATTCAGTGTGTATCGTTTGGAAGGTTGTAGATACCATCATTAGAATTCTAAACATATAGCCTACATGAGGCCTTTTGCATAATCAGTTGGAAACTAGGGATAATAGCAAAAGTTGAACCAGATTTGCCGAATAGAATGTTTAGTGCACAACATTATGGTGTTGTGAAAAACAAGCGTTTATGGTTATGGTGATACACATCTCTAACACCAGCTGCTTATTCAACGTGGTGTTGCTACCACCACTCACAATTCAAACTTCTAATAGACAGCATGCACAATGCAACACACACCTGCACCATACGCCGATGTCAAGTAACTCATACTGTATGTTCCATGCATCCCAACATGAATCACTAACCCCCAGAGTCAATCTCAATCCAAGCCCGTTGAAGCCCTTTCAACGTCTTCGCCACGAAACAACAGCCTCTCACTTCTAGCCGAGTCACCTTCTTCCCTTCCAGAACCGGCAGCAGCCAAGCATGCTGCATGTTGTTGAAGCCCAAATCCAACTCCCTCAGCGCAGGAACACGGCTCAGGTGCTGCACAAAGAGCTTGCTCATGCCGCTGCACTGCTGCAGCTTCAATCGCTCCAGCCGCTCTAGCCCTTGCAGATGCACAGCCACTCTAGCCCTTGCAGATGCACAGCCGCTCTAGCCCTTGCAGATGCACAGCCGCTCTAGCCCTTGCAGATGCACAGCCGCTCTAGCCCTTGCAGATGCACAGCCGCTCTAGCCCTTGCAGATGCACAGCCTCTCCTTGGCTGATTGCCGTTCCCGACAGGTCCAGCGTCTGCAGCTGTGTCATGCCTTGAATCACCAACCTTACAGCCCGATCTGCGTCGAACGAGCAGGTAGCCAGGCTGCGTTCCGTCAGCACGCCCACTTGCTGCAGAGTAGAGTCAGTCACCCGGCTCACTTGCAGCTCCTGCAAGCCTGCAAACGGCTAAAAGGGCTGGATTTCGCTGGCGGGGGGATCAGATGGGGGGGGCAGGTTGGCTTGACTGTTGGCTGGTGGGTTGGAAAGCAAGGCAAAGGGCTTATAGCAGGCGATGACGAGGCGGTGGAGCTGAGTGGCGGACCGGAAGAGTGGCAGGGCGTCTGAAGCGATAGAAGCTGCGTAGAAGTGAAGTGTTGTGAGGGAGGGGAGGCGGAGGAGCTGATCCGCGACTGCTGACGTAATGTTCTCATGCTGGGAGTTGAGATCAGTGAGGACAAGGGTTGAGAGGGATTCTAGGAAGCCTGGGTAGCAGTGGGGAGTGAGCAGGAGGTAATAGCTAAGAGAGTAGGTATGGAGAGAGAGCCTTTTTACGCTTGTGTCTTGGTTTGCGAGGCAATCAACCACATCGTCAATTCTTTCAATAGTCTTTTTTTGCTCCTCGGGGTGGATGTGCAGCAGCAAGCTGTTGACCTTTCCCTTGAGCGGTGCCATCACCTCCTCTTCGCTCGCTCTCCCACGCACCTTAACCGGGCTGCTCTTCTTCACTGGCCATTGGAACCCACTCCCCATCGGCCATGGAAGCCCACTCCCCACCGCCTATTGCTGTCCCACCCCCATCGGTCATGGAAACCCCCTTCCTACTGGCCTTTGGGGCCCCCACCCCACCTGCATTCCTCCTGCTATCCCCGCCCAGCCCTCTGCTCCCATGTGCGCATGCCTCTCCTCCACAGTAGTGGTAACCGCTCCTCCTGAATCCAATCTCGTCCCCCCTCTGCTCCCCGCACTGTGGCCGACGGAGATGAGAGGCTGAGGTGTACCAGCGGGGGGATGGGGGAGTAGTGGGATGAGGGCACGAGTGAAAAGTGTAGAGAACCGTGAGCGCGAGAGGGAGGAGCGGGCATAAATGGATGGAGGAGGAGGTTCAGAGGAGAATAGGGGGAGGGTTGGGATGTGACCGAAAGTGAGTGTTGGCAGTAGGTGCAACAGCACAAGTAGAAAACTTTCGACAGAAAGCAAGAGCGATATGAGATTGGTCTATGTGAAGATGAAGAATTGGAGAAGAGCAAGAGAGAACCGGGGAGAGTGACTAGGGGTGGGTGGAAGGAGAGTACCGAGGGCAGGGATGAGGGTAACATGGAACGGGGAAGTACATTGGGGAGAGCAGGGACTGGAAACGGGGAATTAAGTTGGGAGGGCATGGAGTGGAAAGGGAGATTACAATCTCGCTTATAATCGCCTCAATTGCACCTCACCCCTCTCACCAATCGCCCCCACAAATCGCCCCTCGCACCTCCCCCCACTCACCTGCAACATGGAAAGGTTGTCAACCACCTCCTCTTGCATGGCTCTTTCCTCAGCAACCGCTTGCCCCACTGACTCCCTGTCTACATCGCCTGCTCGCCCCTCCCCTGCCCCTTGCTCTGCCCCTTGCTCTGCCCCTTGCTCTGCCCCTTGCTCTGCCCCTTGCTCTGCCCCTTGCTCTGCCCCTTGCTCTGCCCCTTGCTCTGCCCCTTGCTCTGCCCCTTGCTCTGCCCCTTGTTCTGCCCCTTTCTCTGCCCCTTGCTCTGACCCTGTGCCCATCCCCTCCTCTCCCACCACTTCGTTTGCTTGCCCGTCCTCCGCCTCGTCCCTTGCTCCTTCCTCTTGCTTGAACCCGAATTTTTCCTCAAACTCTTGTCTTTCATTCTCAGAAACTTCAAGCCCGTCTCCCGTCACCTTGTCCATTCTCTTTGTTGTTTCCTCCACCTCGTACCTCGTCCCCATCTTCTGCGCCTCCTCCTCCCCCTCTTCGTTCTCCTGTTCCCACTGCTTCTCCCCCCCTTCCTCTTTCTGCTCCCTCATTGTATCCGCATCAGCCGCCTTCCGACCCTCAACCCCGAACACCAGCCTCCTCACTGCCTGCACCATTGAACGAATGGCCTCCGCATGGCCAGACAGAGCCGCCAGATGCTGCCACGTGGATGATCTGACAACGGGGGATAGGGAGCGAACGGGTGTGGGGGGGTGAAGCCACAAGGTGAGCAGGCAATGTTTTCTTGGCTCGAGTTTGCAAACCTGACTTGCACTAGAGGACAGGAGTCGTCGGTAAGACCGTTCACCTTACTCTCAGAACCACTGACCCAATGGCGCCTGCATCACAGGGAGATTTGCCACACGCTTCAAGTCATGAGGGTATCAGGGCAAGGAGCGAATGGGCGGGGGGGGTTGCGATGGAGTAATGCAGAGGCCGAGCGCGCAGAAGGAGCTAAGAAAGGGGAAGATGCCTACCAGGTCCTGTCAGATGGTGCGAGAGAGATAGAAACCTTCATGAACCGGGAGAGAACCAAGGGTGTGGCACATAGAGAGAGGTGGGGTATAAAGAAGGGAGAAAATAAAGCTGGGGTACAGGAAATGAAGGGAGTCAGGGGGTGGAGGAAGGGAGTGACACAGGTGGGCAGGTAGAGAGGGAAGGGAGAAGAGAGAAGGGAGGATGCGGAGGCAGGGAAGGCAAGGAAGGGTGGGCAGAAGGGATTAGAGCAAAGGAGTAAGAGGGCGATACCGATGAGAGGGACGAACGCAGTTGTAAAGAGTGAGGAAGGCAAGAGTAGAAAGAGGGGGAATTGGGGGAGGGGGAGAGGGTGAGAGGAAAGAGGGAACTGGGAAGAGGGTGACAATGCAGGGTGGGAGTATGCAGGGAGGGGCAAGAGGAAATTCGGATGGCGTGCATGAGAATAACTTGGAAAAGGTATGCCAGGGAATTACAGGGCATACATGGGGTGGCATAGGTCGCGTGCTCACATCCGCCTTACGGTACGGATGCATAGTATGGTGCATGGGGTTGCACGTGGGACATGCGCAACCCCACGATGAGCTATGAGGAGGGCATGTCATGATGGCATGGCATGGCATAATGGCATGGCATCGCATGGCATGATGGTATGGCATGGCAAGATGGCGTGGCATGATGGTATGGCACGGCATGATGGCATGACATGATGGCATGGCAAGGCATGATGGCATGGCATGATGGTATGGCCATCGGGAAAAGAGCGGGTGTGGTTTCCAAGTTGGAAACCAGTCGTAAGCGATTGGTTTTCGGCTGCAGGCGTTTTCCCCGATGAAGCGTGTGGTTTGCGTGTATAGTAGCTTGTTGCTCGCGAGAAGGTTTCGACTGGTCAAGCAGCTGGAAGCCAAACCTGAAGATTTGGCTTGGATAATTTCGACGAACTGAACGGAGACAAGCGGCGCATCGGCAGTGGGCGGAAATTTTTTCCGATTGGTTGTCGCGTCAGCAATATCGACACGATAAACACTGCTTCGGTTGTTGGAATCTGGATGTTGAACTAAGGTCGTTATTTTTTACACGTCTCGTTCAAAATTGACGGCCCAGCGAAAGTGATGCAAGTCAATTGAAATGATGACGCGGAAGTTAGCGTGTATTGGTTTCTCTGATAAAATTCAATCGTTAACTTTCAGGCGGCATTTGTGCATGTAACGGTGGCACTTGTGCATGTAACGGTAGGGCCCAATAGAATGGTAAATATAATAAATTTAATAACTTCCTCTACACCGCACTAACAGTACTCGAAACATAACAAACGTTGCTCAACATTATATATTTACTAAATTGACACTGTATACACAAAATACGTAGCCACATATTACTACAATTACAACTACACTACCTAAATCTAAAACAGTTCTACCTGCACCTGGTACGGATCATGACCCCTGCGATGAGCGCTGGTCGGGACAAGATCATCAGGGGACAGATCCCCAAGCTCATCCCCAGCGAGCTCCTCTTCAGAATTGTCGGTCCAACCGACGATGCATAGCTTCCCGATGCCAATGCACTCTCCCTCGCGCTTAACTTGGCTGGCGTTGATCCAACGCTGCACCACCCGTGCCTGCCTGGCGAGAGCTCCAGGATCCCCGGAACGCGTGAACTAGGCCTTGTTGGAGCAGGGATTGCGCAATTTGGAACGCACCTGAGACAGTTACCACAAAAATTGTAAGCATTACATTAGGATAAAATACCATCCGTAAAACTAGAACTCACCACTGCAAGCAGCACAAGAAGCTGCTCGGGAAACAAGGCAATCGGGAGGGACCCGTCCCACTCAGAGTCCCACAGAGCAGCACATTGAATAAAACCGTCGGTGGAAAACGGGACTCCGTTAAGGACATGCCAGGGTAATCCGAAAAACTCTGCAGTGTGACAATGAGAAGGTCAGATACAGGTTTACGGATGGTACAGAAAACGGTGAAGAAGCCTACTTACTGGAATCGTTCCTGGTGACATAGACTTTGCACTTGCTAGAGAAACCCTTGGGCTCGTAGTAAATAGTCAGGCCCTTCAGGCTACGCTTCTCACCCATGAAGACACAGGGCTCGTTAGTCAACGCGAGGATGCAGGTAAGTCGGTAGATCTTACCGATGCGATCATTGAAACGCACACAGGCATGCCTCAGCTTGCCTTGCGACGTCGCAATCGCAGCCACTTTCAAGCCTTCAGGTGAGTCTGGCGTGTGGCCCGAATGCCCTGCATACAAAAAAAATGTAGTCAGCTTCCATAGACTGACAGCAACAACAGAGACAACAGAGGGCAACCCTTACTAATGAGCGACTTGAGCATGTCATCAGAATCAGGAGAGAGATTGAGCATCTCTCGGTTGAACAGAAACTCATCGCAAGCCTTCTTGGTGTAGACCTGCGCGCTACACAAAAGACCTTAGTAATCCAACGTTTCTGGAGGAAATGAAATGCAACTATAATAATTCAACTTACCTCCCAGGTGAGAGCGCCGGCGTCAACTTCCGAGGCCTTCTTAGCAAGGTGCGTGATAAGCACGAGGCAGTCCTTCAATTCCCCCGCCCTACGCGCGTTCTCCTTGCAATATGCATCCGCGATCGCCTTTTGAGTACCCGCCTTGGCTAACAGCTCGTCGTTCACCAAGGGTTCGTCGCGCTCTTCCTCGTCATAAGCTGCGGCCTTAGTAGCGTACACCCGACCTTTAGCGCGTGACATTATCAACTCCATTGGGCTGGCATCAGCCTTTCCTGTTGGTGGACAAAAAAAAATACGGAACAGCAACATTAGTCATGGTTGCAGGCAACAGAATCCAAGGCTTAGAAAAGTGAGTAGAAGAGTGAATCACCTTTTTCAGCGGCGGGTTCCTTGTCCGCTACGACAGCGACACAGTTATCGATAGTTTCGATAAAAGCAGGGAGATGACCACCGTCACCGGAGCCTTCGGGACCACCAGCAGTGTCGGCAGAGACTGCAGGAGCCTTGTCAGGCTGGCCCGAAGCCTTGGCGGGCTGGCCCGGAGCCTTGGCGGGCTGGCCCGTAGCCTTGGCGGGCTGGGACGGAGCGACACCAGTGGTCGGCGAAGGCTCGGACGTTCCAGCGCCGGCAGCAGCGTTGACATCTTCGAGGCTCCGATGAAAGGTTTTTTGACGCGGGCCCGTAGGGTGACGACCAGCCGGTGGTTCCTCCGTCTCTTTTTCAGTATTGGTTCCTGCATCGTACAGAAACAAAAAAAAAGGGAAAAGTAAAAACAAAGATAGTTATGGACATAACTGTAACGAAGGCTAGTGTAACAGGAAAAAACCAAAGTTACTTCCTGCGGGGGATGGATAGAACAAATGTCGTTCCTTGCTTTTCCGCGGAAGCGGTGATCGAGTCTGGTGCATTTTCAAAGAATCAGGGACAAGGAGTTTAGATTTGCCAGGCGCCATGGATTCTAGGGATGAGCCAGTAAAACGAAGCGTATAGCCAGCAAGACGCCTCGCTACAAAATTTATATGCAAAGCAAACGTGACAATACAAAGGAGAGGCTTTGGGTGAAGGAGCCACTAATGAGAGTGCTACAACGACTGAAGATGCACGCACCATGATTGGACACTCCACCAAACCTGCGACAGCGGTCGTAGCGAGTGGAGGCTCGGCATGCGACGCGGGAGTCTTGGCGAGGGTAGAAATGGTAAGGAGGAGGAGTCGAAGTTAGAAATTCAAAATTTGAAATTCTAAAACAAGAAACGACTACACAGCATGTAACCTCACCCCTGCCAACGGGAAAAGGAAATGGGGGGGAGGAAGAGAGAAGGGAAAGGGGGTGGTGTGCGGGGTACCAATGATGTGGTTGGCTTGCCGCGTGTGACGAAGTTGATTGGTGGGACGCGCGGTGCACTTCTCACCTGGCTTGGGTCGTGCGAGGGTAGCGTCCGAGAAAAGAAAGGATGTGGGTGGCTATGCAGCGTGTATGTGGACGACGCGCGGCGCGCCCTTCACAGCTAGGGAAAGGGCACACTGTTCAGATGTGCTGGCATGCTGCGCTGCATCAGTTGCGCTAGCATCGGTAGCAGCTTATGACTGGCTGGCATTCGACGGGGATCTGTTGCGCTGGCTGTGGCTTTTGGAATCTTCGACACGTACCGTCCTTGTTGGTGTCCAGCCAGCTAGTGGAGGTACAGTAACGGCAGAAACATGGCACGGCGCGCTAGAACTGTGTTTGGATGTACTGCAGCAAGAACACCGACACAGTAAAACAGGTACAACAGAACACGAAACCGTCCAAGCTCAGCAGCAGTTTTATTGTCGACGTGGTTCGCCACTTGTGTAGCATTAAATTTTGGATTCACAGAATTGAGACAATGCATATCTGACGGAGAACTGGGTAAGTCACGAAACCAAAGCGGAACTAGAGGGTGTAAACCAAACCCGAAGTCAGCATTGTTTGGGAGCGAAAGTAGACGTGGGTTGCGGACCGTGCTTACCTAAACTTTGAACAGATTTGAACTAGATGGCGCAAACGGATTGGAAAAAACACCTACCAACAGTAACATGGTCATAAAAGTTTCAACAGTAATTCTTCCACAGTCGAGCGTGCAATGCGGCGCAGTGGTAAACGGGATTCAAAGAATCAGATCCCGCGTGCAGTGCGGCCCAGCTTCCACAGTCGTCCGAAAGTGTTCCGGATTTCACGATTGTGTTATTTCTGTGCAGACTCGTCTCAGGAATAAAAGCGCACCCATAAGATTATAGATGCGAATGGATTCAAAAGTTTTACCATATAAAACATCAACTATTGCCTCATTCTGAGCCAAAGAATGTATACAAGAGCCCAACCTTTGGAAAAATACAACTGTACTATAATGTAATATACCGAGCACATATATACACATATGTACAACAAATCTCCCTACCACTTGAAATTATTCAAAATGAACTTTGTGAGAGGATGCGACGGATCAACGGTTTTGGGAACAACATGGCGCACACGCAGTATACTCTCAACTGGAAATACCCCATAACCGCGGTGAGATGGCCACCAGGCAAGAGTCTTCATATCCATCGTCTCTGACTGCTGCTGGACTTCGTAGTAACGACCAAATGCAAGGTGCTCCGAAAACTGCTCATCGTCGTCGTCGTCATTAAGCACTGTCCATCTCAATGTGAATAGTAGGAAAATCTTCGCGTGCCAAACCACCTTCTTCTTGTTGTCATCTTCGCCCTCAACATCCACATCAGAAAACCAAGGTTTTTTATGGAACAGTGGAGTTGCCCGTGCATACTGTGGATACCTACTATACCTTGTAAAATCGTCGTCCGATGGTACCGCAACACCTCCATGCACATCTATCATCTCCTGATAGTGTACATCCTCTTCAGGATGTAGCAGCTCCAGATTCGCCCCAATTGACTCACCCAAAAGGTCAAAGTCGCCTGGTACGCTTGCAGCGTATGCTCTGTAAGTCTTGTCTCTCTTGTTTCCCACCCTAAACCTCGCTGATGTCCCCGTGACTGTTGCAACTCCTGTCTCTATGGCCTGCACGTATAAATACAGGCAGAGGGTTGGTGTGGTAAATCTCGCAATGTAAACATCCAACACGTGGCCAACCAGACGAGCACGTTACAATACAACATAGGTATCTCAACCCTAGGTGTCGATCAATGATTGCGTACCTTCTGAAGGGCGACACTCCGTGCCTGGTCATCTGCTACCTCATCGGCGGCGGACATCTTCTCGACCAGCTCCGACGTAAGGCAACGTCGCGTGATCGAGGCCTCAGCGTTCCTCTTGTTGGATGCTCGGTATGGCTTCTTCATCACTGCGACGTGCACGTGCTCGTAAACGTCAGTGCAGTAGTGAATAGGCACGCCACGGCGCCTGATGTCGTCGCTGACGTGTAGCATCGCGTGAATCTTCGGGATGTTGAATTTCGATGCTTGTTCATCCACGCTGAACTCGTCGATAAGTATGGGAACAAGCCTGCGCATTCACCCATCACATGGCACAAAAATAGATGATTAGATCAAAACATTTAAGAGTTGAGCTGCGAAGGCATGTTTGATGCAGCTCTGCCCTAGGACGAGTTGTCACATCTCGTACTCACGTGCGCGCGATCTCGTCAAGGTTGGCCAGCGACTCGTGAGTGTGGTATGTTCGATGCCATGCCTCCCTGTGCCACGTACAGTACAGCTCCACAGCACGAATAATCCTGTCGTCCACCTTCACCATCAGCAGCAGCGCTGGCAGAACCTGCATCACAGCCTGATGATGGAATGCCTTGAAGGTTGCATGGCCGCTGAAGTATCCATCAGTGTGTGCAGGAATCCTGAAGAACGACTGTCTGCTGTACATAGTGATGCGTTCGAGTGCAGCGTCAAGTTCCCGCAGGGTCCCTGTACTCAGCTTCACCTTTAGCCCCTCCAAGATGTGCTTGTACACGCCGAGAAGGGACATGTGCATGATGTCGGATGTCAGTTGCCGGTACGGGTTGCCGAAGTCAGTGTCGCCAAAACGTTGTCCCCACAACGCACTCTGTAATTACAAGTGCACGCACACACACTCACACACACATATACACATACACATGCACACATACACACACTCACACATACACACACCCACATACACACTCGCACGCGCAAGCACACACTCACGTGCACACACTCACACACACGCGCACACACACACGCACACTCACACACTCACACACACACACACACTCACACACACGCACACACACACACACTCACACATACGCACACACACATACAGACTTACACATACACACACACACACGCGCACATACAGACACTCACACACACTCACACACACACACTCACACACACTCACACACACTCACACACACGCACACACACACGCACACTGACACATACACACACTCACACACACGTGCACACACACACACACTCACACACTCACACACACACTCACACACACCCACACACTCACACACATATATACACACTCACACATACCCACACACCCATACACACACACTCACATACACGCTCACATACACACACACACACTCACACAGACGCGCACACACACACACTCACACACACTCACACACACACACATACGCACACTCACACACTCACACACACGCGCACACACACACACTCACACACACTCACACACACACACACACACTCACACACTCACACACACTCACACACACGCGCACACACACACACTCACACACACTCACACACACACACACTCACACACACACACACACGCACACACACTCACACACACACACTCACACACGCGCTCACATACACACACACACACTCACACACCCACAGACACGCTCGTACGCGCGTGCACACACTCACGCGCACACACTCACATACACGCGCACACACACACGCACACTCACACACTCACACGCACACACATACTCACACACACACACACTCACACACACACACACATACATACACACATACACACACACACACAAAAACAACCAAACAACACGATACCCGTTAGCTTTGTTGAACGAGTCAAAGCTTTACAATTCTATCCAAGTTGCATATAGGCGTCCGACAAGACATACCTTGACACAATGTGTGCTGTGGACTTTGGACAAATCCTTTCGTGCCCCATGTGTCGGCGCGCTCTCCATTTCCATCACATGTTGCATCTGTCCTTCCTCCGTCCGAAAAGTGAGAGGATACTCCATGTTACTCAGCTCCTCCCTCGGAACGGTGCACCT